ACTTGCGTGAAAACCTATACATACGAAAGACTATCCCATTCTCCAACAAACCCCCCCACCCCCACCCCTACCCCCGGCGCGCCCGATTAATGGGAAATTTCATGCTTCGTGTTTGTGCATATTTGTTGTCTCAATTCCTGCAGAATTGATTTGAGAGCTGGATATGTTACTGAGTGCATTGTTCCGGTTTCATTTTATTTTTCTTTGAAGACTTCCCTTTGGTGCTATTTCGCAGGTACCCCCTAAATCAATGGAATTGGTCCCCGTAAAGCAAGAGCAGGAGAGTGTCTGCCTGGAGTGAAGCCTTCTAGTGTTTGCTTCTATGAACAGCTGTTTTTTCTTAGCTGTATAACAAGTGGATTGTAAGACATAGCTGTTGCTTTTTCCTTGAACGTTAGGATATAAGATAAGTTGTTACCGTTTGTGAAAATGTGATATACGTTTAGGTTTCACTTTCCAGAACTTCCAGAGTTCTGGGATTTGGTAGCTGAAGTGAGCGCTTAAAAAGTCGCACATTTCAGGTTTCTATCTCCCTTATATTTTAGTGAGTGGCACTTGTGTGTAAAGTGTGCTGTACAGAGTTCATGCTAAAGTTGTTTGCTGATACTCTTAAGCGGTTATCTTTATGCTTGAAAATTGGGTGATACGGATACCTGGTGTTTCTGCGTTGAATATGCATGAAAATTGGATCTCTAAGAGCTTCATTTGCGCGTAATTCATTGTACTCCTGTTGGATGGACTTGATCTGTTATGAAGTGCCTAGTGATCAATGAAGTGGGAAAAGAATTATGAGGTCTCAGGTTCAAGTTTCATTGGAGGCAAAAAAAAAAATTACGTTATTTCTTCGCATCTATCTAAGCATTAGCAGGTAGATTTATCCGGTATGTGTTGGTAGGAGGTAGGTAGTAGGTAATGGGTAGAATAGTTGAGATGTGTGCAAGTAGGATCGGGCATTAGCGTCACAGAAAAACAGTTCACATAATGTTGTGATTTCGGTTCATCTTTGGTATGAATTTTAGTTAGGAAGGCCATAAAGCAAAATGGTCGGCTGCAACGTTTTGAGAGGAGTTACAAGCCTAAGTATTATCACCAGAAAAAAAATTGTGCGTCTCTCGGCATGCAATGTTAGACCTCACATTATTATTTGTAACGAGTTGCAGGCTACACGATTAACATTTCTTAAGGTGAGTACGAGGTTACAGAAGTTTGACTTTGATATTAATTGAAGAAACATAAGTATTAATTTAAAAGTTTGATAACAGATGGAACAGCTGAGAACATTTGTAGAAAATCTGGGGAAACACTTTCATCCATACGTTCAGTCTATTTTAAGGTTCAGTTGGTTTATTAAAAGTTTGGTTTTGATATTATACCAAAAGATGTGAGCATCTAACAAAAATGAAGAAATTGGGTGGAATTGTTGAATAACTTGGAACAATTACGAAAATGTTTGGGAACACTTCTGTTGTGAGATCTCTCTGTTGCAATAGCAGAACAAACAAACTTCTTTTCGACGACAGAATTGATCAGTAAGACATCTACTTATCTTGTGTTTATTATTTTATCTTATTAATTGAGTTAGGCTTTTGCGATATCTTGCCCTTTCTTGAAGAGAATGCAAGTGAGAGAAAGGTAAATGAGAGAAGCATAGCATGTTATACGAAAGCGTCGCTTTCTCTGTAATGGTATCACACAACGGCCTGCTAGAAGAGCAACTTGCTCCCTAATATTGTACATAAGACAAGCACACCCTCAGCCTGCTGGCTGGGCGAATTGAAGTTATCGTCCGGTCAACTGTCTATCCAGTCAAGTGCAAAAAATACCGTAGAATCATGCAATAGTGGCTGAGAAGGATGCAACACATTATAGAGGAATGCAAATGCCAATAAGCCTTAGCAACTAAATAGTTGAGGTCCGATATCTTGGATTTTTTGTAAAAAAGTTACGTTTTTTTTTTTTTTTTTTTTTGTAGATTTTTGGTCTTGCATATTGATTATTCCTATCTAACTTCTTAAAAGGAAAAAGTTTCTTTGTATCTGATTATCTTTCATGAGGATAAAGTGTTGATTTTTATTGAAAGTGATTAGCAGTCATTAGGTTATCAACAACTTTTGACCTATTTGTTGTACCTCTATTAGGGTTGGGTTAGGAGCGTTTCCAATATGATTCATTCCCTGTATTTATTCGGTAAAAAATGTGAATCTGTTTTGTTCACTTCATCAAAATGATCAAAAAGAAGGGCGAGCTTTCTTTCTATTCCGGAATTTGATCTCCTCCATCTCTAGAATCGATCTGATCCAGGTCATAATCTTTATGGGATTCCCAAAATTATTAATAGAAAGTCGACCGCCCTATAGCATAATAAAGTCGTGAAGTGCACAAGCCCCTTAAGAGATAGGGGCGACTATATCGTTAATTGCTATACCTATTTGTCATTGAAATCACTGTGGCTTTTTAGAACAGCAACAACAAAATACCCAAAGTAATTCCACAAGTGAATTCTAGGGATGATAGTGTATACACAGCCTTAGTCCTATCTTGAGAGATATAGAGGCTATTTTCAATAGACCTTCAGCTCAATTGAAACACAATCACACTAGTATTTAAAAGAAATACAGTAGTTAAAAATTAAAGCCATGAAAAAGAGATAGTAATAACAACAAGATATTAAGATAATTAAAGCTAGAGAAACAACAAATAATAATAAGAGACTAAGGATAAAAAAATACAAAAATAATACTAATAAAACTCTGGCATGGCAAGGAGATACGCTCGACCACTTTGGGTTTTGTTGGCTTGAAAAACAAAGACAGATGAATGTGTCTCCAGCTTGTGTTTTAACGATAGGTAGTAGTCGAGCTACATGTTATACGCCACATTTTAATTATTAGCTACTGTAATTAATAGTAAGAATATCAGTCAAATTAATATATGTAATTTCACTTTATTTTTTCTTAAAATAAGTGGTTAGTGAAAAACAAAGAATAATTAGAAAAAGTTGTTTTTAGGTTCTCTTGTCGAGTAATCTGAATATAATGTTCATCGAGTTGCTTTCAATAAGATATGTAGGTCATTTTCAATTAGCTAAAAAGTCTTTAGAAAGATTCATTATGTTTCCAACTTATTGCTGCTTTATGCTAGTCTTATAATTAGATAAAGCTATAAGCCCTTTTAGGTTCAAATTCCAGCGGAGGAAAAAATAGTAGGCAAAGACTCGGGTTAGGACAGTAGGAGGCGACTCTGAGGATTTTCCGGTTGTTATGGGGTTACACCAAGGTTCTGCGCTAAGTCCGTTCCTATTCGCCTTAGTGATGGACGCGTCAACACATCACATTCAAGGGGATGTGCCATGGTGCATGCTATTCGCTGATGACATAGTTTTGATTGATGAGTCGCGAACCGGTGTTAACTAGAGGCTGGAGGTTTGGAGAAAGGCTCTTGAATCTAAGGGTTTCAAGCTTAGCAGGACAAAGACGGAATACCTGGAGTGTAAGTTCAGTGCTGAGCAGAGGGAAGTAGGCGTGGATGTGAGGCTTGAATCACAGGTCATCCCGAGTAGAGACAGCTTCAAGTACCTTGGGTCGGTTATCCAGGGGGGAGGGGAGATCGACGAGGATGTTACACACCGTATTGGGGTAGGATGGATGAAGTGGAGGTTAGCATCTGGAGTATTGTGTGACAAGAGAGTGCCACTGATACTCAAAGGTAAGCTCTATAAAGCGGTGGTTAGGCCGGCCATGATGTATGGGGCTGAGTGTTGGCCGGTTAAGAAATCACATACCCAGAAGATGAAGGTAGCAGAAATGAGGATGTTAAGGTGGATGTGCGGGCATATTAGGATGGATAAGATTAGGAATGATGATATTCGGGAGAAGGTGTGCGTGACTCCCTGATGACAAGATGCGGGAAGCAAGGCTCAGATGGTTCGGGCATGTTCAGAGGAGAAGCCCAGATGCTCCGGTAAGGAGGTACGAACGGCTGGTTGCGGATGGCACGAGAAGAGGTAGGAGGCGGCCTAAGAAGTATTGGGGGAAGGTGATTAGACAGAATATGGCGAGTCTTCAGATTTTCGAGGACATGGCACTTGATAGGAACATGTGGAGGTCGAGTATCAAGGTTGCAGGTTAGGAGGTAGTTGAGTCTTGTCTTATGCCATAACATTGTGTGACTAGTTTGGTAGGGATACTATTTTGCTTTTGCTTTGTATCATTCTTCTTGATTTCATGTTGTTCCTATTTTTCGTATTTTTTCATATTATATCTGTGGTGTTACTAATATTGTCTTCTTTTGTCTTTTTGTCTTCTTGAGCCGAGGGTCTTTCGGAAACAGCCTCTCTACTCCTTCGGGCTAGGGGTAAGGTCTGCGTACACACTACCCTCCCCAAACCCCATTAGTGGGATTTCACTGGATCGTTGTTGTTGTTGTTATTCCATATGTTCATACTTTGGTGGATATAATTATTAGATAGTTGTGTTAATAGGAGGTAGCAGGTACCCCTTGGAATTAGTCGAGGTGCGCATAAGCTGGTACGGGCACCACAACTATAATAAAAAGGGGGAACCGACACAGTATCTTCACTCCAAAAAATAATAGCCGAAAAATATATAAAATGACACAATATATATTATACATATTTTTATATATATTTGACTAGCGGATGTAATTAGTTTTTGGCTGACTGGCCAAATGTTTAACTTGTTCCAAAAAAACCAAATAAGAGGATGCTTTACCTAAGCCTTATATATCTAAGCCTAAGCAAGGTAAAGGACTCATAAAAAATAAAAAGTGAGAATTACTACTTTAAGTCATGTTTTGTAGGTATGATTGAGGAAAAGTTCAGATTTTTATTCTTCTTTTATTTAACTTGTTTTTTTCTTTCTTTCTTAAAAATATGGTCAAGTCTTCTTGGAGAATATTTTTTTTTTTGCTTATTAGGAAAGAGTCACTTTGCATCATTCCTTTTTGGAAATGTTTCAAACCTTAGAGAATAGAGAATATTGTGAGAAGAATTTCTGTTACTTATTCTTCGTAAGGTTTATTTGTGACCATTATCTTGAGCCGAGGGTCTTTCAGAAAGGGGTAAGGTCTACGTATACACTACCCTCCCCAGATCCCACTTGCGGGATTTTACTGGGTTGTTGTTGTTGTTTATTTGTGACCACCAAAGGACGTGGTACATCGGATGGGCTAGTCTTCCTTTAACTAGAGGTCTCAGGTTCGAGCTTTGGGTATGGAAAAATTCTTGGTAGTGAGTGCTTTTCCCAAACGGGGCCCTACGCGGTACGAATCCCGATGTAATCGGACTCCAATGCGGATACCGGACACCGAGTGAGAAACAAAAAAAAAGTTTTCTTTGTGACTATGTTGATAAGACTATTCCTAATAATAACATAGGTATTTGAAGTTGGAATAATAGGTTATTGTTAAGGAATTATATATTAACTTGATATTGGAGTATACAGAAGTAATGAATTCAAGTCTCATCGCTGTTTATATATATCGAAAAGAATTTATTCGTGCTTGGCCGGAGAGAAAAAAGTCGAGCTCGCACGTGAAATTGCATGGTGAAATAATTTAGTAATTAAAGTTCAAAACTGTATTATATTTGTTTTTATAACCCAAATATTAGATACAACACTTAAATGATTAT